GATTGTCTATTTTTGGGCGGGGTAGGTTATGGTTTTCAGGGAATAGGTTCATTGCTTCCAAGTTGTCACATTTATGAATGTAGAGTTGTTAGTAGTATTCCTTCTTGAGCCCTATTTGGGGGACTCACAGTATGGTAAGGAGCCTTTTGCCTAAATAGCGGGACTGAGGCTTATAGGAATGTTTGTATCTGTTTTCCAAGGTAAATGATCTGCTGTGTGGATGATCTAACAGTGCTTTTTTCCCTCTATCTTATTTTAGTCTTGCCCCACCCCTATCCAGTACCCTTTTGCCATCTCTCCTTAGCTGATTCCAACCTGGACCCCAGAGAAAGGCAGTAATGATGTGGCCCCCGAGGCCATTGAGGCCCTGCTAAGCCCTCCTTTCCAGGATGCACTCCATGTTGCGAGAGCCAGGTGCTCTGGGAGGAAGCTTGTGAGGTCTCCATCTGGGGTCTACATTTTCTGCCTGTTGTGGTCTTGGGACCTGGAGGAGCACCAGCCAGGGAGCACCTCAGTCTTTAGGCCTCAGCTGGAAAGCCCTTGGGAGACACACAGAAAGAAAGGTGGAGGGACTTCGATTTACAGATTTCCTCCTGGATGCCCTGTACTGGGCTTAGGGCCCAACGTTCATCCTTGCCTGTTAAAGCACTGGGGAATAGGGGTTATTCCTCACTTGTCTTAAATTGAAGGCACAGAGGATGAGAGAGAAAGGGGCCATGACTTGCGCAAGATTCTGCTGTTGGTAAATGGCAGAGTCAGGATTGAAACTCATTACCTTAGGTATTGCATTGGAAGCACTTTCACTATAGCACATTTACCTGTCACCTCATCTTTTCAGGGGATCAGAGATGCAACAGGCCAGAACAGAGATGAAGAAAGGAACTTTTGTTGGACCCCTTGGGCTCTGCCTCCCAGTCCAGCCTGCTGGGGGAATCAATCTAACATAGAAATAGCAGGCCATGGTGGTGGGTATTGAGGAGGGCACGTTCTGCATGGAGCACTGGGTGTTATGCACAAACAATGAATCATGGAACACTTCATCTAGAACTAATGATGTAATGTATGGGGATTAACATAAGAATAAAAAAAAAAAAAAGAAATAGCAGGCCAATTAAGATGGTGGCAGATGCAGGTCCGGTCACAGTGGACTACTAGGAAAGCCGGAGAAATCACTGTTGGAGCTGGAAAAGGGAGGTCAGGGCTTCCATGTGGATTTGAGCCCTTTCCCCAGCCAGGCTGGCTCCTGACTGGAGCAGGGGATCACAGAGCTCCCTCTGTCCAGATCCCTGTGAGTTCTAAGAATGTCTCCACGTCTGTTTCCCAAACTGTCCCCAGGGTATGCTCAAATGATGTATAATCATAGAAATGAAGAGGGTGATGAGGGGGGGTCTCATCCAGCCCTCTTTTCAGACTGGGAATCAAGGCCCAGAGAAAGAAGCGAATTGGTCGAGTGCCTCCAGGCAAGCAGGGAGGGGCAAGGAGGGAAGTTAATCCTGCCCAGTAATAAAGGGCTCTTGGTGCTGCCTCCTAAGGGGGGAGGGGGGAGGGGGAGATGGCCCCAGGGCTGTGGAAACTCATCATTATAGTGTACACGCTGCTAGATGCACCTCAGCATGATTCCTGCACTCACTCATTCAGAAGCGTTCAGCGACTATATTCTATGTACCTCATCACATAAAATGCTGTTTCTCCACATGGCTCCACCAGCACTGGGAGGGAGGGTTTTAGCGGTTTTCAGCTTTATGAATCCTCTCTTCTCCCCCATCAGCCTCTCCATCCTGATTGTTGTTGCTGTACTTCCCACCTTTCTTCAGACTGTATCTGTTGACTTTCTCTAAGATACCGGGCACAACCAACTAAGGGATACTAATGAGTAGCTAACTTAAGGAGCATACCCCAATCCAAGGTTAAATGTATCATAGAGTATCCCTAAAGATCTAGAAATCTTTAAAACCAAAAAAAGGTTCCATTTAGATGTTGTATTAGGATGATAGAAATGTAAAAGAAAAAAGATCTGTGTGGAGCGGGCAGGGTTGGGTTGCCGGATTTAGCAAATGAAAATGTCCAGTTCAATTAGATGAAAATGAAAATGCCAAGCTCAATTAGAATTTCAGATACACAACGAATGACTTTTTTTTTTTTTTTTTTTTCAATTAGATGAAAATGAAAATGCCAAGCTCAATTAGAATTTCAGATACACAACGAATGACTTTTTTTTTTTTTTTTTTAGGAGATGTGTGTCCCTTGTAATGTTTGTCTGAAATTCAAATGTTGCTGGGCATCCTGTATTTTATCTGGAAACCCTAGAAGAGTGACATGTTTCCAAGAATGCCTTAAAAGACTCTAAGTGGGTAATTACAATCTGGTAAGCTAGCCCGGCCTTCGGCTTAGCCACCTACCTCAGAGAAAGAGGATACTGAGAATAGCTGCACAGAGCTTCTCAACAGCTCAATTACCAGCTCCTCCTGGCTCACCTTCTCTGTCCTCTGCCTTTCCCTCATCTTCCATGAAAACCCACACCTTCTCCGCTTCAGGCACCAAGAGCCGCTAAAGGCAGGAGTGGTGGAATGAGATTGCTAAGGCAGGGGCCGTGGAATGAGATTGCTAAAGCAGGGGCCGTGGAGTGAGATTGCTTGGGTGTAAATACAGGCTCCGCTACTAGAAAACAAGACACCATGGCCAGGTTTATCAATGTCACTAAGTGCTGATTTCCTCCTCTGTAAAATGAGGCTTGTGAAAGCTGCCCCTCTCAGGCTGTCATGAGAACTGCAGGAAATAAGGCGCGGAAGGCCTGCATCACAGTGCCTTGTAAAAGTTAATTTACCTGTTTTGACATTTAGGGGGTGGCGGTTGCTAGCAGCATGCCCTTGGAGACAGAGGAGCTGTGGGAGGATGTTTGACCTGCTCCAGGAATGTCTGCCTTTGTGCCCTGTTGTGTCCTTGTATCTCTGACTTTTCATTTCTTTTATCTCATTTATTTCTCACAACAGTCCTGGGAAGTAGGGGAGCAGAGATTATTAACTTTTTTGTATGTGAACACACCGAGGCCACATTATTTGGCCTCTCTAAACCTTCCTCATCTGTTAAAAAAAAATGAGAAGCAGGGTGAGATCCTTATAGCAGCAGAGTTTTTTTTTTAATTAATTTTTTAAAGATTTTATTTATTTATTTGAGAGCACACAAGCAGGGGGAACAGCAGAGGGAGAGGGAGAAACAGGCTCTCTGCCGAGCAGAGAGCTCGATGCGGGGCTTGATCCCAGGACCCTGGGATCATGACCTGAGCTGAAGGCAGACGCTTAACTGACTATTTATTTATTTGACAGAGAGAGAGAGCACAAGTAGGCAGAGTGACAGGCAGATGGAGAGGGAGAAACAGGCTCTCTGCCGAGCAGAGAGCCCGATGCGGGACTCGATCCCGGGACTCCAGGATCATGACCTGAGCCGAAGGCAGTCGCTTAACCAACTGAGCCACCCAGGCGCCCAAAAAAAATTTTTTTTTTTTAAGATTTTATTTATTTATTTGACAGAGAGAGAGAGTGAGCACACAAACAGGGGGAAACAGTGCAGGGAGAGGGAGAAACAGGAGCAGCAGAGTTTTTGAATTTCTCCAAGTCACTCATAAAAATGGACTGAGTCCCTAGGATAGCAGGAGAAACATCCCACTGGACAGTATCTTCAACAAAGCCAAAGTCAGGGTACCCCCACAACCAGAAGAGGTGAGGTCAAAGCACCGTGGGGCTTCAGCAGCTGTTCCAAAATAGTGAGAATCCTGGAACCCAGAACACAGAAACTACCACCACATAACACAGTCCCCAAAGAAGAGAACTCCACTCCGAGTGGACTCCTCAGCAGGAAGCTGAGAACACCGTTGAAACTGGGCTAAGGCTCCATAGGCTCCTTCACAAGCTCCAGTTTGTAGGTAAATCCAAAAGATGGCAGGAAACTGAAAAAGCCAGGGCTCTTTGGAGAAGTGGCTGGTTTGTGGCAAAGCATAGTGTAGGCCTCGGACAACTTGTCTGCCAGGGAGCAAGAAACTTCCAAAGAGGGTCCAGGCCTGATTGAAGCGTTCCCCTTTGAGTCAAACAAATTAGGTGTAAAAGAAATCTATGGGACACTTAGAGATATTCAGATTTGGACTGGATATTAGATATAAAAGAATTTGTGGAAAAAATGAAGACTAACCAAATGGGAATAAGCAAAGGCTATTTATTCAAAGCATGCTGTAGCAAGGTAGTTACTATCCCTTGCATTTTGGCAGAGACTCAAAGGCAGTGGAGTGGTAAAGCTTCAGAGCGGAAAAAACGGAAGGCTTTGGGTATGCCCTGATTGCAGGCAATTGGGAAGGGAAACTGGAGGTAGCTAAGTAGAAGAGGGCGTCCTATATGGTTGGTTAGGGGAGTATATTTGGCATTCTCTGATTGGAAGTGGGGACAAAACTAAGGGATACTGTCAGTTATTAACATCTGACTCTTAGGGGCTGGTTAATAGTTTGGCTGCTTGGGCTGATGGCTAGAGATGATGTTTTGATTTCTTACAAGTCAGTCTACAAGCAGGCTGGCTTCCTGGGCTAGTTATTGTGAATTGTTGCTAGTTGCTATAGATTTTTTTTTTAAGATTTTATTTATTTATTTGACAGAGAGAGACAAAGCAAGAGAAGGAACACAAGCAGGGGGAGTGGGAGAGGGAGAAGCAGGCTTTTCTTGGAGCAGGGAGCCTGATGTGGGGCTCAATCCCAGGACCCTGGACCATGACCTGAGCCGAAGGCAGACGCTTAACGACTTTGACTATCTTTTTTTTGCTTAGTATTGTTTTCAAAGTTTATCAATTATGTAGCATATATCAATACTTTCCTTTTATTGCCAAATATCCCACTGTTTGGATATACCATACTTTTTTATTCATTTGCCAGTTGATGGACTTTTGACTCTTATGAGCAACACTGGTATGGACTCTTATGTACAAGTTTTTGTGTAGATGTATTTCTCATTTCTCTTTGGTAGGTACCTGGGAATGGTATCACCGAGTGATATGATAACTCCATGTTTAAAGTTTTGAGGAACTGCCAAACTGTTTTCCAAAGTGGCCACACCATTTTATCATTCCACCAACAATGAATGAGGATTGTAATTCCCCACATTCTGATGGCTTCTTATCTCATTCAAAGTAAGAGCCAGTGTCCTTGCAGTGGACTAAATGGACCAATATTGTATTAGTCATGGTCTTCCAGAGAAACAGAATGATAGTATATGTGTAATTAATTAATTAATTAATTGGCTCATTTGTTTATAGAGGCTGAGAAGTCCCATGATCTGCCATCTGCAAGCAGGTATAATTCAGTCTGTGTCAGAAGGCCTGAGAACCAGGGGAGCCAATGGCTGAAGGCCTGAGAAGGGAGGGGTGGTGTGCTGGAGGAAGTCCCAGAATCTGAAGGCCTAAGAACCAGAAGCTCCGATGTCTGAGGACAAGAGAAGATGGATGTCTCAGCTCAAGAAGAAAGAGAGAGAATTCATCCTTCCTCCACATTTTTGTTCAACTGGACTCTCAATGGATTGGATGATGCCTGTCCATATTGGTAAAGGTAGATCTTCTTTACTCAGTCTACTGATGCAAATGGTAATGTTTTCTGGAAACATTCTCACAGACACATCCAGAATTAATGTTTTACCAGCTGTCTGGGTGTCCCTTAGCCCAATCAAGTTGACATGTAAAATTAATCATCACAAACATGATCTAGCCTTTATCTGTCTTTGGTGTTCTAACCCCTTGACATTGTACTGTTCCTCAAATAAACCAAGTACACTCTGTAGGGACTTTGCATCTGCTGTTTTATTTGCCTGAAACTAACTTCCCACAGATACACCCCTTTTTGTTACCTCACTTCCTAAAGACTTCTGCACATATGATCTCTTATCAAAGGGGCCAGTCCTTACAGCTCTAGATTAAATAAGAATCCTCTTCTCACTTCTTTACCCTGATTTTGTTGAATCTCTCTCTTCCAAATGTCCATTTGAATGTAAAATCTTTGAGGGGACAGACATTATTTGTTTGGTTCACTGTGTTAAAGAGAAATTATACTGACACCTTTTGAAACTTGCAAAGAAGACTATTCAAGACTTTATTGCATTGCAATATGGAAGAGAGTTTGTAACTCCCAGTACAAGAGGGACAAGTGGGGATTTATAGCCAACTGACAGGGTGAGGGAATAAATGGAAAAGGACTATGAAGAAATTGGTTAGGTATCAAGATAGGGGGAGGGCAGAATAGGAATTTGGTTAGATATCAGGGGTGGGGGAGGAGGAGCTTGATTGGATTCCAAGGGTGGGGGAATTCTTTTTTTTTTCTTTTTAAAGACTTTATTTACTTGAGATAGAGTGAGCACAAGCCGAGGGACAGAGGGAGAGGGAGAAGCAGGCTCCGCACTGAGCAGGGACCCCGACGCGGGGCTTGATCCCAGGACTCTGGCACCATGACCCCATCCGAAGGTAGACACTTAACTGACTGAGCCACCCAGGCCCCCCTGGGTGGGGGAATTCTTGATGAACTGGCTTAGGAGGATTCTTCGATAAAATTGGACTTACTACGCCAAACACAAGGTCTTATGGAAGAGGATTCAGAGGATCCTGACCAAAGTTTGGTTAAGGAGGGAGTCCTTATCAAGTGCTCTGTCCTTAGCATCTAGAATAGTGAGTGGCATTTAGCAGGGCACTGGTTAATCATTGTTAATTTGGCAAATAAATGCCCCGTTCTGAGAAATAGTCTTCCAAATAAAAAGTCCTAATTGAAAAAAAGAGATACACTTTCCTTACTAAGCTATCCAATTCCTGGAGTTTATAAGTAGTACTTTTTTTTTTTTTTTTTTGCTAGAAAATAACACATTTAAAAAAATGGATTCAATCTTGTTCCATCTTCTATGTCAGCAAATAGGAAATTTTTAGTGTTTTGGGTGTTCTACTTTTCTAACATGCTTTTTCTTTGCTTAAAATCAAAATGGGATTGCTTGGAAACAAATAAGCAAACGAATCAATCATAAAGAGCTGTCCCAAAGTAACATAAAACATGTCTCATAGATTTGCATGTTTCTAGCATTGGGTGCCAGTCTTGGCTGCATATTAGAATCACGTGGGAGGTTAAAAAAATCCCGATGCCAGGACTACCCAGAGCATTACTCCAGAATCTCTGAAGCTGGGACCAAGGCCCCACTGCTTTTCAAAGCACCCCAAGTGATGCCTAGAAAGGCACAGGATGGAGACGCTGAGACCCTGGACGGAATCCCAGACTACATTTCCCAGAGGCCCCCGCGGCCGCTTCCGTTTCCGGCCTTGCCCGCCTCGGCGGGCGTAGAGCGAGGCTCCTGAAAGCTCGCGGATCTGCGCGGCCAGTACCGTCGTGGGTGGTCGCAGTTTTTCCGCACGCTGAGCCTCGCGGCCCAGCCCGCCCAGCTTGGTCCTGGAAGGCTGCCGCCGGGCTGGGGCCCTGAGACCTGGTGCACCCCTCTTTTCCTCAGGGAGCCGGCCTTGGAAGGAGCCGGCTGAGGAGGGGACGGGCAAATGTGGCCGGGGCCCCACCCCGAGGAGCGGTGCCCTGTCGAGTGACCGCCCGAATATGGCGCCTGACCGGAAGTTTAAAGGCTTGCGCTGAGGCCCAGAGATTGAGTCACCTACGAGACTTTCCACCCGTGTTGGCGAAGGTGCCTGACTGACTCACACCCAGAGCTTGGCCTTGCTGCCGGGCCAGATTCCAGGCAGCCGGCCCTGACCTTAACCACCTTCACGTGTCCACCCACCTTTGTGGGGAGTGGGGAGGGTGGAGGACTGGTCTTGTCCAGCTTGCAGAGAGCAAGTTCTAGCTAGTTTAGGACATGGAGGGACTTCCTCATATTTCCTTTCTTTTTTCCCAGATTGGCTTATTCAGGATTCTTTGCCCTTGCCTGGGAGAACAGTTCAGGAGACAGATGGCCCCAAGACTACCAAGACCCCAAATCCAGGCAAGTTTGATTTCAGCTTTTCCCGAGAAATGGCCACTGTTTCAAAGTGAAGTCGGGTTTATGCTTCTTGCCTGGAAGATGCTCTGCCGTGTATGGACCAAATTAGGTTGCCTGAGCCTGTCCTGGATTGGTGCAGCTTTACAGAGAAAGGAGCCCTCTCCCCACTGTTGTCCCTTCATTTCCTCTCTACCCATTACAGAGTTGTTCACTAAATCGATTTTTGCTACCCATGCTTTCTAGAGTGCTAGAAGCTGAAGAATACTTTGTAGTAAAGTATAGCTGTTGCCTGAAAGGGGTTGCCAACTCACAGAAGATGAAAAACAGACTCATTTATCATATAACGACAGAGGCTGAAGTGTCAGTGAATGATACAGTGAGGGGAGTGCCTTTGATGTTCAGGGTCAGAGTCTAAAGGGTGGATGGGTGGTGGTGGTGGTGGTGGTAATCCTTTTAGTTCTTCCTGAAGATTAAATGAAGCTTGCGTAATTGCAGAAGATGGGATGACTAGGGGAAGGCTAGGACATGAGTGAAGCCATCACATCTAAACCAGGAACAAACTGGTCCCAGAGAAATTTGGAAACATTTGGGGTCTAGAATGCCAGGCTGGAGTTTGTTTTTATCCTGGAGAAAACTGGGTTTTGAAGGATTTTGAAAAGTTGACAGGAAGTAATTAGCATTTTGACAGGAAGTAATATATGAGTATTACACAAATTAAGAGTA